TTACCGGAAGGGAGAAGCTGAGGGGTCGCTTCATCGTTTGGAGGCAAGGAAACCAAAGGCACCGGCGTTGAAACGACGGCGTCTCTGGGAAGGGAAGGGAAGGGAATGACTAAAATAGGACAGAGCTGAGGAGGTTGGTGACGGCTTGCTTCTAATTTCTAAGATGTTGCCGTTTGGTTTCTTTGCTTTTACTACTCAAATGGCCACTGCCTGTTTTGCGTCCACAAAGCCCTTTTCTTTCTTCTCCTTCTTCATTCAAGTGTGTATATAAACCTTATTCAAGTATGTTATCATGTTTTTTTATAGGATTAAAATTTAAAAAAAATTTATTAAAAATAATTTTTTAATATATTTTTTTAAATTATTTTATGGTACGGCTATAAAATACATATTTATTTTAATATATTTTTAAATAAAAAATATTTTAAGAAAACTAGGATATCATTCCTAGACACCCTATTATTATAACTCAAATCATATGATTTATTTAAATTAATTAATTAATTTTTATAATATCATATTTACCTGTCTCTTGATTTGTATGGTGACCTTCCATTTAGATTTTACTACATCAATGGTTTGAGTTGTGCTATAAGTTTAGTTGTTATTTTTTTAATGTGAAAATAAATTCAAGCATTATTAATTTAATTTTTATTATAAACTTAAAATATGATATATATATATAGGATAATATTTATTTTAAAATTTTAATACGGTGGCATATTAAATAATATATTTTTTAAAATATTAAAACTTTAATATATTGGATCAACTTAAGTTAACTTATTAAATCTATGATATAGGTTATAAAATTGTGATAATACCATAAAAATCAATATGAAAATAAGTTATTAAGACTAAATACTTAACTCAATGTTGAAAAAAAAATTAAAAGAAATTTTTTTATTAAAAAAAAGAACTACCTAAGTTAACCTATATCAAACCCACAATCTAAATCATGAGTTTAGGATAATTTTATAGAAAGTAAGTCAAAAATATTTCATGAAACTCAATTTCTAACCAACTCAATATTAAATGATAAAATCAGAAAAATATTATTAAAAAAGATAAAAATTATTCAATTTAGACTAACATGTTAAACTTGTGATCTAAATCATAAAACTAGAATAACTTTATAAAAAATAAATAAATAAACTATGAAACTTCATTTTCAATATATCCGATGTTAGTGGTTAAAATTGAGAAAAAAATTCACTACACCGAAATAAATTCACAAAAAAATAAAATAAAAATAAAATAAAAAACTCAATTCTCAAAAAATAATATAGAATAAGTGTTGGATGGTGAAGTGAAAAAAAAATATTCAATTAAAAAATAATAGAAAAAAAGAGTAAATACGAGTCAATTTACCAAACTTGTAATCCAAATCATGATATTAGAATAATTATATAGAAAGTAAATAAAAAATAATTATAGAGCTTAATTTTTAACCAACTTAATATTGAAAGATAAATTAGAAAAATTAATTAGAAAAAAGTAACAAAAAAAAACAATTCAGATAAACATGTGAAATTCATAACTTGGGTTATAAAGTTAGATAAATTTATAGAAACTAAATCTAAACAAAATATAAAATCCCCCCTGCAACAAATCTAATATTAAAGATTAAAATCAAGAAAAAAAACCTAATATATAACCTAAAAAAATAAAATTAAAAAAATACAAATCAAAATTCTTATAATAATATAATATAAAATTATAAAATTGAAAAAAAATATAAAAATATTAATTTGTTAAAGTGTTAAATTAAAAATATAAAAATAAAATTATTTTAATGAATAGTATCTTATGAATGTATTTGTAGTGATTTAGTTCTGACCTTTCATGTTTTATTAGTTAATTAATTTCCTTCAAAAACAAATCCTTCTTAACAAATTAAACTATCTCATCTTACTCCTTCTCTTTTATTTATTTTATTTTTAAAAAATAAAAGATAATTTAAATTAAAAAAGAATATGAATTGAGAGAGGGGCTGAACTATAAGAGAATTAATTAATTTTGTTAAAAATAGGTGTTATTTATAACTTAATCATAAAGAAAAAGGATCGAAATTAGTTTGGTGAATTTGATTTTGAATCCCTTATCTAATGTGTGAAAACTCCAATCTAATCAAAATCTTATTAGTTAGAAACTAAATTAATACTATTTGAACATATATTTGATATCTTAAACATTTACAAAAGAAAACAATTTAAATGGTAATTTTTAAGTATACGAGGAAGCTAATATAGCAGCAAGGAAAATCAAATATTGGATTATTAAGGGAATAAATCATAAAAAGAATAATTCAATATATGAACAATTTTTTTATTTTTTATTTTTTTATTTTTTTAATGGCATCTTTTGCGCTCTCTTTTGACCTAACAATGGATTTCTACAAGTATCATTTTCTTTTTCTTTTATCTTTTTTTTTTCAAATTTATTTCCTCCTCGGTGTAATAGATCACCTCATCTTGAGCGGGGAGAGTAGTGGTTGTGTGAAGAAAACAAAGACGGCTGTGATAAGGACCCCGTACGTGTGATTTTGGATTTCGAGTTTTTTAAGTAATTGTTAGAGATTTTAAATAGAAAATAATAATAATAATAACACAATTAAAAACTTATTTAAAAAAACTTTCAAAACTCATGTCTCATCTGTTACTTCTTGAAAACAATTATGGTAGAGATAATTTTATTAATTAAAAAAAAACTCTTCTGAATTTTGAATTTTGAATTTTAAATAAATAAATATTATCTTGAATTTAAATAATATTATTTTTTATCACAATTTCATATTGAAAAAAATATCTAATTATTTTTAAAATATTATATTTTTCATAGTATTTAATTTAATTTAATTTTTCAAAATACTACTTTATTTTCTTGATTTATTTTATTTTTTCAATCCTTATACTTTTTTCTTTAAATAATGACTCGTGTGGGATAAGAAAGTAGTCTCATCTTCACTTTTATAAAAAATAGATTTCATAAATTTAAACTAAATAGATAAAAGTGAAGGTGGAGCATCTAAATAGGTATTAAATAAAAATAAAATTTAAAGTGCTAATTATGATGATTTTTCTTTTTCCATTTTTCAATTTCAGCACACTTTTTTATCATATAACACAAAATAACAACCTTGTTGTATTTTTTTCAATGTATGTTTTGAAAATCTATGTTAGGTCCTAAATTTGTTTGCAGTTTCATGTTTTGGATAAAAAGAACCTTAAAATTAAAGATAAAAACCTGTAGAAATTTTGATTTCCTCTTTTCTGTTTCAATATTGCCGTGAACAAGATAGAAATATACCCATTATTGGATTTTTTTTGAAAAACAAAGATACAGTGGAAATAATAAATTTAATTTTTTTAAAAATTTCGAGGACTTGTTAAAATAAATCTAGAGTTTATATGGACATTACTTAAAAATTAGATTTGTTTTAGCTTTAAATAATTAATTTAAAATTAAATAGTTATAATCTATATATTTTTCAAGTGTTTGATGTTTAATGGTAATCTTGACAAACTACCAAATCCTTTTAAGGGAGATGGATTGTTTTATTTTCGAGTTCTAACTTCTTCTTTTTTTGTATTTCTAGTGTTTCTCCAAGTAACATATTTTTTTATGCATGGAAAATAAAAAAAACATAATATTTTATTTATAGAGAAACCTAAAAATCATTTAAATGATAAAATATCAATTTTTTTTTAAATAATGTCACATATATTATTATTATTTCATGATAATTTTAAATATTTATTCAATCAAATCTAATTTTCAGTTTATAAAATTTATTTACAACCAAGTCACATTTAATTAATCATCCTATTTTAATTGCTAATTAATTATTCCTATATGTATGACTCAAATATAAATTATAATTCTGAATAAAATAGAATTAAATAATTAAATATATTATCAATTTAAAAATTAATTGATTTATATTTGAAAATCAAGTATAATATTTAAAAACTTGTCATGATCCCCGAATATTAAAATCATCATAAGTGGTTTGTATTAATATTTTGGTTACCAGTTTTTTAATATAATTAATATTCCTTTATCGATAATGTTCTGATTTAGATAATGAAACATGTGTATTTTATTAAGTCATTTTTATTCTCAACACCATAATCATCAATTCTTTGAATAAAATTTGAAATTCTTTATAAATCTCATTTCATCTTAGTCAAATATTTCATAATCAATACTATTTGAGAACATATTGAATATATTTTTTAAAATTTTTATAGGGTGAGGAACCTTTTATTTATTACTAAAATATTTTCATATAGTTTATGTTATATCCAATATTTACTCACCTATAACTCTTGATAAGAACAATGAATAGTCAGAATCGCATCATAATATTCTTTATATAAAGATAATTTATTAATTTTAAATTTAATGATCACCTAGATAATTGTCATGTAAATTTTTTTATAGATGTAAGTGATTTATCTATATGAAAATATCATTTAAGTTAGTTAAATATATATTTTATCTAACATATATCTATATATTAGTTCTAGATATACCTCATACAATTTTTTTATAGATGTAAGTGATTTATCTGTATGAAAATATCATTTAAGTTAGTTAGATATATATTTTATCTAACATATACCTATATATTAGTTCTAGACATACCTCATAGGTAGCTTTTATATACATATAAAGAAACATAATATATATAATTAATATTTAGTTTTAATAGAATATTGATTATAAATATTTAAAATAATTATAATAACTTTATAATTTTTTTATAAGGTAGTTTTATCTTATAAACTTTATATTTAGCCAAGATTTATTAATTAAATATAAATAAATATTTATTAATAATAAATATATTATAATTAAATCATCCGCTAAAATACGTATTCACTGCCATATATTTCATGCAAAGATATTGGTCAGAGTATAAGAAAGAAATTGAGCTGACATCGCATTGTCTGCTAAGGGTGTACAGCGTCAAGCAACGAGCAAGCAATGAAATATCCAATAAAAGAAATTATTATTTTTTCATTCAACAACGATAGCCCGTCTTACAATCCTAGCTAGCTCCTACAAATAAAGTCCAAATCCCACCCACCGATCTCTTTTTAGGGGTTGTTAGAGATTCGAATTCAAAGAAATTATCATGATCTAAGAGTACTATTGTACCCTTCAGGCCAGCTGAAGGAACACTAAACAAGGAAGGGTAAAAAAAAAAAAAGATTCAAAGAATGGGTAGACAGCTTACTAAAATCAAAATCGAAAGAAAAGGGAAAAAAAAACAAATTAAGTACTCGGGACAAACGGTGGCGAAAAAGAAAAAGAAAAGAAAAAAGAATTTTAACACTTGGGGAGATCAGAAGGTGGAGGTGGCAGCTTTTGGCTTGGCCGTTTTCCGTCATTGACCACCCAAGCCATCTTCAGGCCCCAGCTGGTGTGTACTTCCAAATGGCAGTGCATGAACCAAACTCCTGCTCATCCGAAAATCAACAAGTGAGACATGCATTTTTTTTAAATTTATTTGAATATGGAGATATGGACTCTACTTTGCATATCACTTAGAATTTGTATATATTCATATTCTATAGTATAATCCTTTCAGATTTGAAACTTTTGTGCTACATTATAATTTGCATTAGGTATAGTATATATCTAATAATAAATTATAAAGCCCACCTGGATTGTCAGCAAGGAACCGTATGGCGACCCACCCTCCAGATGGCACACCAACAGTGTTCCTCTCTGCAGGGTCAACGAGGTTGAACTTGACAGGGTCCTTCTTGGGGTCAAAGTTGCCAAAACCCTGACCAACCACAACGAAGTTGAATCCATGGAGGTGAAGAGGGTGGCTCTCTGCACCAATAATGCTGGTGTCCTGCATCACCAACTCCACGCTAGTATTGAAAGGAAGCACCACCACCTTGGTTCCTTTGGCAGTCATGATATTGCTAGGTGGTGTCCCTGTATAGTTGAATTTGAAAGGTGGGTTGGTAGGGAAATCAGTTGTGTACACACCCTTTGATCGGTTAAGGAAATGAGATTGCAGGAGGGCTATATTTGGCTGCACAAATGACACATTGTTGACAGAAGCTGCTAACATGGTGTTATTAGGTCCTTGGCAGGTCTTGTTTTGTGAGCAAGGGAGTAATCCGAGACCTATTGTGAAAAAGAAGCGTCTGTCAACTTTCTTTGGGACCTTAGCTGGGAATCTTGCATTGGCCAAGCTACGGATTTTCTTGACAAACTTTGTGGCAAATGTTGTGTCATTAAACACTGGAAGTGACGGTTTAAGAAGAGGGAGTTTCTTGTTCTTGCTTTTGGAGTTTGTTGCGGAAGGGTTGTGGTCATATTCGAGTATTCCGGCAGTGGTTGTATTGTCAAAGGAGGCTGGGCCAGTGGCATATGGCCTAGCGGCCATAAGAAAGGTGGAATTTGGGGCCTTAGCTTTGGCCATAAGTAGAACATTGGTAGTTTGTCCCGGGGTGATGAGTACAATGTGGGTTTTAAAGGGTTTCACGTAAACTGCGTCAGCTTCAACCACAGTGAGGCTGTGGTTTGCAATGCTGAAGAAGAGCTCGTCGTTAAGTGCAGCATTGATCAAACGAAGGAGATAGGTTTTTCCTGGCTTCACCTTGAGCTTGAATGTATCTGCATGAAATAAATTGGTTTGATTTTTAGCTAATCCCGAGAGTATTTACTGCACTAATTTATGGCGTCCATACTCTTGCAATTTGTTACTATTATGGGTGCAAATTAGTACCTTTGGCTGAACAGTTATACAAAAGTCCAGGATGACCATTGATGGTGTAGGCATCAGAAATATTTGGTGCTCCTCCTGTTTGCAAGGCTTGGCTGATAATTTTCTCCGTGTCTGCTTTCCACCATTCTCCTGTAATTTCAGTGTATTTACGAAGTATCAGAAATAAATGAATGGATATGGAAATTCATTAATACAATACGTGGCTATATATATATATATATATATATT